TAGGAAGTATCTTATTACCACACAATTACTTTTTAAGGTAGTCTTGGGATGGCTGTCTAGTTCAGTAACTGTTTCTAGAGCAAGGCTCTCTGAGAACTTTTGCTTCTGAGGAGGCTGCACCGGTCCCCAGGTAAAGGCTTCAAAGAACCAGTGAACAAGGGCCGAAGCCATTTGGGTATGATGTGCTGACAATGGCCTGAAAGGGCCTGAAATGACAGAAAACGAGGGGGCGTCTGAAAACCATAATGCAACTTTGTTTCAGCACAATTCAAGGCTTTTACTTGTACAGGGCTCCATGGCCAGCTCATCCGACTAATGGAGCCCATATTCTGTGTTCATCTCGTCATCTTGCTGACAGCAAGTGCTCCTTCTGGACAGGGCCATCCTTCAGAGGGCAGATTTTTTTACCAAATGAAGGGACAGACGAAGCAGTCTGGGAGGCAATCCTCCACCTTCAAAAATTCCAGTTTCCAGTTCTAAGCCTGCCAAGGAACATACTCCCTTGCTCCACCCCTAATTTTCAACTACTTAGCCTAAGACCACAGGCGCAAAATACATCTTTCTGGAAGAAAGACACCGTCTAAGTGTAATAAATAAAAGATGGCGTTAATGCCGCTGAGGAGTTGGTCTCTTAATAAGTATCAGTTCAGACTAATTACTACGATAAATCAACATGGGGATGAGAAGTTATTAGGGAATATTACCAGGCCGCCCACCACAAGCCCTCCCTCATGGAGAACTGGCCCTACCTTCCAAGTGCAAGGCCAAGGACTGCACAAATGTTTTCAACAAGAGGAAGAAGAAAAAGAAAAGAGAAAGTTACCTTCTAGTTCACATTTTTCTCCTAGGGATAAGGTTTCTGAAGTAATAGCACTGTCAATGAAGATTTAAGTTTGACTCGAGCCTAGTAAACTTAATGCCACTTGCTTTTTTGATGAGCAAGCTGGTTAATAATTAAACACATGAAGATGATCTATTCAGGATGGATTTAAAGCATGGCCATAAAAACCCTTAAGCACGAGGCTGACATTTTGTTGTGCCGTAAAGCACAGCCTGCTGACGGTCCCGAGACGATGAGCAGTGGGAAGGTGTGGGTCCCTGCTGACGATGGATGGGATCCACCGAATGGGAGACTGTTCTCAATTTCACCCACCTTACATCACACAACACATGCACACACATACGTGTGCACACCTGATCTGTTCTCTCCACACAAAAGACGGTATCTATCCACAAGCTTGGAGTGCTCAAGCTCCCCACCCAAGGCACTGACGCTGTGGCTCAGTGCCAGAAGCAGGCAAGGAGGCGTCGAGCCCACTACCAGCTGAAGCCTCACCCCAGTGAGGTACTCCGCAAGCATTCCCAGCTACCACTATGGTGTGAAGGGGTGGGGGAGGCTTGACTCCTAGACAAAGACCCAAACAGACACACTACTTACCACAGAGGAGAAAGACAGAGCCCCGAGAGAAAGGAAGCACACACAGGTTACAGCTCCCGGGAGGATGTAAGTGGAGAAACCTTCCACGAGCCTCGGAAGCAGTCCACTCTCTCAGGAGGTGCCCTGGCCTGAAGGAGCTTCTACTCTGCCCCCACAGAGCTCATAAAGGCAAACCCCACGTCGTCGTCTTCCCATCATCCTGTCTCTTCTGCGTGCTTAACCAGGACAGTGCAGTGTGGTCCACAGAACAAGGTCGTAGGAATTGGTGCATATATGTGTGTGTGGGTGTGTTCTTACACATATATGTATGTGTATATATGTGTGTGTGTGATCGTGGTACGCACATATGTGTGTGCACATGCATTATGTAAGTGTGTATGTGTGTGCATGCATATATGCGCGCGTGTGTGTTGCTGGGAATCAAACCAAGGGCCCTGGCCACTGACCTCCTTCACACTCCAGCCCTTTGGGTTTGGTTTATTTTGTTGATGTGTTTTCTTGAGAGGCACACCCACATGATCTGGGACTCATAATCTCCCTGCCTTAGTCTCCAGAGCACTTGGATAACAGGTGTGAGTCACCACGTCCAGTTATAGACTTTATATATGTAATAGAACATATTTAGATTGAACATATCATTTAAGATTCCCAGGGTTATGACCAATACTAGATTCCACACCATCATCTTCAGCTGCAGTAAAAGTCGAGGATCCCCCGGATGATGAGTCCTTTGATCAGCTCACAAGTGTAATTCAGTAGGAGGGATCCCAGAAACCAGTCATTATTCTCAACAGCACAGAGGACACCCGTTCAAACGGAGGGTTCTCCCCCTTAACCCAAGGAGCTAACTACTGGGCCTCTCGTTTTACTGTCTCAGCACTCAGCTTAAGGCAAACAAACCAAGAAACTAAACACCCCAGCTGGGCTTGTTGGCAACATCCACAATCCCAGCACTAAGGGGCTAAAGCAGGAGGGTATCCACTCACTCCAGACCAGCCTGGATGGCACAGTAAGCAAGACCTCATCTCCAAGAGATGAGGGCTCTGTGCTAACCATGCACAGCTGGCACTCGCCAGGCCTGTCAGAACCCCACACGTCCCGGGATGCCTCTTCCAGAATGAGGACATTGTACACCAAACTTCTGGACCATCCCCCTGGCAACCAGTGATGTTGGCTGAAAAGGTGTCACCTTCTTAGCACTGCCATCAATTCAAGGGTCAGAGAACGACCCTTGGGCAGCAGCCCAAGGTCACACACACTTAACGAAAGAGGCAGAGCACGGTGTCTCCTTGGTCCACATAGCAGAGGACAGCGGTGGGTGAGCTTGAGGCTTCTGGCCTCAATCCAAGGACGGACCAACAAGTCATCACACAGTCCTACCCTGGTGGGTGTGCAGGCCTGACTATCGAGGACTAGCCAGTCCAGCCTTCCACTCTGTGCCACGCCTCCCGCCCATGGTTCACCACTGGCCATGCCTGAAACAATCCCGCCCAGCTTCAGTGGCAGTCCCGTGCTCACTCTTGTCTGGACCATCTCATCTGCCCCTCCTCTCCCTGGATGTAAAGGATGGGTGTGGGCCAAGGAAGAGGCGTCTAGTGCAACCAAACGGACTTGGGTTGAATTGTCCTGGGTCCCAACACAAGGATGTTGACCAGTGTGCCGAGTCACAGGCAAGGCAGAGCTGGGCGTGGGATGAAGAACTCCAGACAACCCCACGGAAGCCACGGACTTAGCTCATTCACTTTGGCCATTTGGCTTCCAGTCTCCTCCTCCAAAGGATTGACCATTACAGAAAGTCAATCAAAGATGCCCCTCAGTGAAGTTAGATCCTGGCATCCCCTAGGTTGAAAACACGCTTAAAGAAAAAAACCGCATTCAATCTACTTCACCTTTCTGAACATCACAGCTGACCTCAATGTACTCCAGACTTCCGTCATCCCAGAGGTGCGCTGAACCATCTAGCACAAAACCTGTTTTGTCATAATCTGTTAATCAAATATTTACAGAGCCGGTGATCCCAACACTCAGGAAGTAGCAGGATCATCTCCAGTCTGAGGTCAGCCTGAACTACACGAGATCTCATCTAAAAAAGAGAGGGCTAGCGAGATTGCCCAATGGGCACATTCAACCCCCAGCACCCACACAGCGGAGAAAGGACCCCTGCGAGTTGTCTTCTGACAACACATTACCCCCCAACACAGAACAAATAAATGCAAAGTAAATTAAACGAAAGCACATGCTGAAGAGTTTACAGGCATGCACACACACATGCCACAGAGATGGACTCCCTGTACATATGACAGGATGCAAACACACAAAGCACTGCAGAGTTAAGGTCAGAACTGGAGGCTACAATCGCTGTTAAGTAGTCACGGAGAAGATCACATGACACCGTTATCCTGGAAAAGGATCGGAATTCGAAATCCCAAATAGCTGCTACCAAAGCTCATCACCCTCTCACCACGAGGTGGGCTCCTGGCACGTGGGGCGGCTTCCTGAAACTAGGATCCACAGTAAGCGGGTATTTTTATTTTACAACTTTTGTGTATGTTGTCTGCTGTGCGTTTGTACATGAGTGTGCCGAGCGTGGGGCGGTTAAGACAACAATTGTACAAGTCGGTTCTCTCCTTTGATAATGTGGGTCTCAGGGACTGAACCCAAGTCATCAGCCTTGGTAGCAAGAGCCACCACACCGCTGAGCCATCTCTACAGCCCAGCGTTAGGCTCCCTGAAGTTGTTTCTGACTTAACCGGACAGTCTTTGCTTCCATGTGCACCAAGTTGTCTTGCGCATTCTGAACCTGGAAGGCAAGATCTGCAGTCCTGAGGCTTTCCCAAGAGTCTGTGGGCATAATGGCTAAGCGTGAGGAACTACTGGGATCAGAATTCAGATGTACTACTTCACAACCGGCTACAAGTAGGTGATATTGGGGTGATCATACCAGCCAGCCTAAAGTTCACCTCCACTGATAGCTTCACCCTTTCCTCCCTAGCGCTCACCACCGCCTGCCACCATCTTACATACTAGTGTGATGAGCTCTATAGGCCTCCAGTGCCCACGATGGTGACTCAAAACATGCCACAAAGGAAGAAACAGGATTGGCATGGTCCCTGTTGCGTCATGGCCCTTACATTTGGCGAGGGGAAGCATACAAACATACATACACACACCTACATACACAAGTATGTGTGTACAAGTATGCATTAGTGTATGTGTATACACTATAACATGCATACATATTTGTGCATACATATTTGTAAGTTGTGCACCTTCTTATTCACGTGCGCACACTTGCATGTATAAAGTGCACCTTTGAATGTATACAGAAAGTGTATGTACTACACAGAAAGTGTGCATGGGACTCCTGGGCTGTAGCTGGCTGCCCCGAGGGGTGGGGGTCTGAAGAGGAGGGGACTCAGGCAGATTCCATGCACTGACTCCACACGCATGCATTAGGCGCCTGGTGCATGCGGGCCTCAGGCGGACAGCGTCCTGCCCTCAGGGCGCGTCCCTTCCGGCTCCGGGCGCTGAGTGACAGCTCCCGGGCCGGGCGCCCGCTTACCTCGGAACTTGAGCTCGTGCTGTGGCTCGAGGCTCAGGACCTGCTCCACCTTCGCCATGGTCCTCCCCGTCGGGGGCGGCGGCGCGGGCGGGGGGCGGCGGCCTGGGCGGCGGGGCGCAGGGGCGGAGGGCGAGGCCGCGGTGCCCGGCGAGTTTACGGCACGCACGCACGTAGGCACGCACGCCCCGACGCACGCACTCACGTAGATACGCACGCTGCAGCGGCCCGGCCCCGGCACAGGCCAGAAGCTCCGGCGGCAAAAGAGAAACTGCGCGTGCGCATAGCTCTCTGGGGGCACTGAGCAGGATCGGCCGGGACGGCAGGGGCGGAGCTTCCGCGGCAGGGGGCGTGGTCTCGCACAGCTTGGGAGGAGGGGCGGTCTCCAGCGAGACTGTTTAGTTAGCGCCTGCGGGGAGAACTGTTGTTAAGTGCTTTACTTAATAATAATAATTAACAAGAATAAACTTCCACTTTCTTTCCGCACGTGTGGTGCCAAGCTCTACTGAGCCTGAATATAATAAAGTACTTATGATTCTTACAAACACAATGTTTATGGGTTACTGATATGTGCTAGGCCTTGTGACAGTTCATAAATAACAATTATAAATATAATAAACAGGCAATTATTGTTTGCTTATTTCGTGCCACTCTGCTGAATGCTTTCAGTAACTGTCATAAATAAAAGCCATTCTGCATTCTGTGTTTACCAAAGCGCAAAGCATTGCACTGAACCGTTTGCTAATAGATACCATTATTTGTTTATGCAAGAAATATTTAGAAATACAATAACCAGAAAACGACCCGCCTCGCACTTTACTAGGACCTCGCGGAGAGAACAAACTGGCTACACATAATTCACATGGTTAAATAAATCACATGGTGAAAAGTATCTGGGAGCCTAGATGTGTCTAATGCCCCAAATAGGCGTTCTATCCTCTTACTAGCATGTGACTAATATTTCATTGTGTAACATACACTATGTGAAATAGATCTTAATAGCCTCCTCATCAGATAGACACATATGAAGTAAGCATGGCCAACTGTTCACCATGGTCAACCCTGTATAGCAGGAATAATACTCATGTCTCTCAGGCATTTCTCACTTTCTGGGTTTCTGGGTGCTTGGATTTGCTTTCATTATAAAGGTTTTTTAGGGGTGATCTTTGTCTTTTAGCTTGTGTATCTAGTCCATTTATACTTATTATATTTGCTGGTGTACCTGGGTCTATTTTACCAGCTTACACCGTTTCTCCTGTTTGGGTTACCATTTTCTTTTTACCTCCCATGTCTTGCTTCTTCAGGGTTGTTTTCACCTTAGTCTGTTCTTTCCTTGCATGCTCCAGTTGCTGTTAATTCCATGCTTATTTTAACTCTTAACATGTGTACTGATTCTATGAAAGTCTAGCTTTTATGATCGCGTTGTCTGCCTTCTTGAAGCAGTTCACCCTAGACACCAACTCCTCAATTCTATCCCTTAGTTATTACTAATCATATGCCTTCAAAGGAAATGCGTGGCTCCCTCAGTCTGTTCTGTGTTTGGCCACTCTCTTTCTTGGCATTTGTCATGCTTTGAACTCTTTGGGCTTTCTAAATTGGTTAATTGGGTATTTTCCATCAAGGACAAAGATTTTCAGTCAATATTTTTTCTTAATTTTACTTTGTGCTGTTGTTTGCCTGTTTTGCTTTGTTTCTGAGACAGGGCCTCATATCCCAGTCTTTCTGTGAACTCAATGTGCAGTTGAGGACATCATCCATTCCCTGGCCTCCTGAGCTCAGGAGGTGTTAGCCATCACACCCCTTTCACGCAGGGCTAGAGTCCAAGACTACATGCTAGACAAGCCCTCCACCGGCTGCACTATCTCCCCGGCCTCTGATTTTATTTTAGTTTTGAAGCATGGTTTTACTACAGCACAGGCTAGCCTGGAACTCACTATGTAGAGACCAGGCTAGCCCCAAGTCATATCATCATCATCATCATTGTTGTTGTGGTTGTTGTTATTGTAACTTACACCAAACTCAGAGCTTCCTGCGTGTATTTGAAAGAGTGTGGCCCTATAGGACTGACCACTTTCATGTTGCCTGTAGCCATCTAGCTCAACCATTCCCAAACTTTCATCCTGCAAAGGTGGAATTCATCGCCTCTTAAACAGTAGTACTTCTACCCTTCCCGAGCCCCAGCTCTTGGCAGTCCAATTTCCATCTCGGAATTTGGGTGTTCTGGTACCTGTGGAAGAGGCATCACAGTAAGTCCTTTGTGACTGGGCTACTCAGCACTGAGATAAGAAGGTACTAGGATAAAAGTGGGGGGGAGAGGGTGTGATAAGGGAAGAGACCCCCACCTCCCCGGGACATAAATTTCCTTTCTTGCTGACTAAAAGTCAAGATCCTCAATACCACTGATTGTCAATGAAGCCCACAGGACTAAGAGAGGTGACTATTCTGAACCCAACAGGCATGACCATGGCTAGGAACACGAGATTTGCTCCCCCCAAATGCCAATTCTCAGCGAAGTAGTAACCCCACGAGTTGTTTATAGCAACAGAATGAAGAAAGTCACAAAGTCACATTTTCAGTTAGGTGGGGACATCAGGTAGGCAGGGTTAGCAGAGAAGGTAGAGCTTTGCTTTAGGCCATAGACACAGTGTTCTTAGCCCTTTGGTGGACAGAAACTAGGAGCTGGTTCATGTACTCCAAAGGATTTACATAATGGTCACAAAAGCTGTTAGGTTGGGCAATAGATCAGGGGCACATAGATGGTCTGTGGTGATTTGGCTCTAGACTCGCAACATTCCAACCCCTCCACATGGCTGTGGTTCTGCCCTGTCCACCAACAGCTTGAAGACATAGTTACTGTTCAAGAATTCTTGTTCACCTGATGAAGCCAAAGTGCCTGGAGACTTCATGTGTGTCTCCCTGAAGGCATCTCAGACAAGGGTTCGAAAACAACTGGCAACTGTAGTATCAGCACTCCTCTCTCATCCCTAAATTGGAACAGTGCACCTCAGAAAACCAACCCTCTTACAGCTCCACTGACAAAACACAACCCCTTAAGTAGCCCAGCTTGAATACTGTTTTTCTTTTATTTAATTTCAAACTCTACTTCATTTGTTTGTTTATTAAAAAAAAAAAGCTTCCTTTGAAGGATGCAATTGAAAGACACAGGATCATGTGTGGAGCCATTGTGAAGTCACCCAAGCATTGGCAAACGTGGTGGAGGGCATGCTCAATGCCAGCGCTCAGGATGCAGAGACATACGGACCTCTGTGAGTTCAAGGCCTGCCTGGTCAACGTGATGAGTTCTAGGCCACCCAAGAGAAGCCCACACCCCTGACTTGGGTGTACAGTGCCTTTTTCCTATGACTCTGTCTAAATAATTAATAAATCCACTCGGTTTGCCTCTAGTCTGGCTCATCCTGAAATTCTCTTCTGTGCCATCGTCAAGCATATGGCTTCACCTGAGCAGAGGTCTCTAAGGAGGAAGGAAGCTCTGCAGATTGTTGGCAGCAGTGTTGGACTGTGTCTCCCTGCCACCACCGTTGACAGCGTGATGTCCCTCAGGGCTCATCTATTGTGTAGCGTGTGTGACAATATCGCTTTCAAATGCCACCGCAGCCCATCCTCTCACTCCTAACACCTGGAGTTCTGGTTGGCATTTTTGTTCACGACGTTTTGGAAACTGCAAGTTGTTTTGCAACCGTGGCTTGCAAAAGGAGTCCAGCACTTTGTTACCAGGGTCTGGAAAGAACAAACAAGATGTGCTGGGATGCCTTCTGCTGCTCAGAAACTTCTATTTGGCTTTGCTAAAATGCTTGCACTCATATCTGTGCACGGTGTCACAAGCATTAGCAAAATACATTTATTACTGGGGATTGTTCTACAGAGATTGATGAAGGGAGGGAGGGAGGAGGGGAGGGGTGGGAGAGGGAGAGCCAGTGAAATAGTTCCATCTTTTCATACCAGTCTTCATGTCTCTTAAGAGATTACATCATCATCATCCATTGGACTGGGTCTCTCTGTGTAAATCAGTTGGTCCAGGACTCACTCCATAGTCCAGAGTGGCTTCCAATTCATGATCCACCTGCCTCAGCCTCCTGAGAGCCACACTGTGGCCATGAACTACTTACTACCTTCAAGTCCATTCATCTGCTTAGTTTGCTTTTCTTCCCACCATCTTTGGCGAAGGAGGCTCTTGCATGCTAATGTCATGTGGCTTACAGCCCCAACTCTGGAATCCCACATTATAGTATATCTAGACCTTCCTTTGGGTCGTTTGTTAACCCTTGGGCTTCCAGTGAGCCTTTCAAGGAGTCTTTCATTGGTCACTGTTTAAGGCTATAGCTGTGCTCTATGCCTTTATATGCCTGCATGGTCATGTGGATTTGCAACAGACCTCATGCCCCGCCCCCAGGCATGATGCCACACAGCTTTAGTGTTGGTTTCTTTCCCTGGCTTTCTAGGCACTCGGCAGTAACAGTACCCAGGTCAATGTGGAGAGGGAAAGTTCATACAGAACCCCCACAACCCACCACAAAGGCCACTATGTAAATGGGCCCACTGAGCAGGCAGCTATGCAAGGGAAGCAGAGCAGATCGTTGTCCCCTGAGTGCATTGTCTGCTTAGTCACTGTGAACCACTGTTCCAGGGGACAGCCTTCTTATGTGAATGTCCCCTCTTGAGAAGTGACCAGACTTGCACATCTCCACTCTCTGCCCCTGACCATTCACTGCTGATGGCCATACACATGCCTGTGCTCCCGCCCATGCAGCTGTGTTCTTAAATGTACCTATATTCATGTTCCAAGCACCTGTGCTCCTGACTATGTACCTGTGCTCCTGACCCATGCACCTGTGCCCCTGAGCCATGCACCTGTGCTCCTGACCATACACCTGTGCTCCTGACCCACCCATGCACCTGTGCCCCTGAGCCATGCACCTGTGCTCCTGACCATGCACCTGTGCTCCTGACCATGCACCTGTGCTTCTGACCATGCACCTGTGCTCCTGATTCATGCACCTGTGCTCCTGACTATGTACCTGTGCTCCTGACCCATGCACCTGTGCTCCTGACCATGCACCTGTGCTCCTGACCATACACCTGTGCTCCTGACCCACCCATGCACCTGTGCTCCTGACCCATGCACCTGTGCTCCTGACCATGCAC